GGTGCCATGAGTTGGGGGTAGGGGATATCTCAACACTTTCAACACACCTCCTGGGGAAATCTCAGAAATAATTGGGAGGAAAGACTGCTGGATGCTGAAAGCACATTCTCATATATAAATTGATACCTGATATGCCATGAGACAAGTCATGTAAGGAAAAAGCCATCACCTTGAAAGTGTAACGCAATCTCATATTACAGCCTCATCTTCGCCATCGTTTCACCACGATGACAGCATCACTCTGAGCATACCAACTAAGCCTTTCAGGAGGGTTTTACTAAGTTACTCTTTAGGATAACCATCATGCACCAGAGAAAATCTGGTAAGGACCCTATTTCCAGGGGAAAAATTTGCATTCAACTTCCAGGGGTTCATAAACACCCCCCCCCCCAAATATCCATTGACTCTGAGGCATCCACGAACCCTAGGTTAAGAACTCTTGCTTTAGAGCATTAAAACACACACACAAACTGTATTTCCTCCTTATTTTGACCACACAGAATGACTGGGAATCTGAAACGTGTTGTAATGCAGCAGACAAACTGTGCTGTTAGTTTTCTAAAATGCTCACACTTATGTGCACAAAACAGAAAACGCTAATATCTAAATGTATTTTATCACCTTGAAAGGAATAGGTACTAAGGGGGAACAAAGCATAAAATGATTGAAAATGGTGTGTTAAGACCTATTTGAATTACTTTTTATTACTTGTACAAGGACACAATGCACATACACACACATACACACCATGGGACAACTTAAATCAAACATAGTGACGGCATTCATTTTAAATTATTTTATTCTGTCTCTGGTATGTTTTATAGCCTATATAAATACATCATCACATTTGAAAATTGGCCTGTCCACTATAGATTTATAGGTTAAATGTGCTCAGATGCTAAGGAAGAGCTTGACTTGAGAACTAAGAAAATTAAGTCAATTTCAAGATGCACATTTACAGGTTTAAGCAGGAGAAGGCAGGGGCCAGCCCACTGTGCCTCTGCCATGGTCAGTTCAGCTTGGAACATTGTGGCGGCTTCTGTCAGTTACGCTTCAAAAAAGGCACAGCTGATTCTCATGTATCCATATAATAGCATGCAATGTAGTCATTAAGAACAATGTTCATGAATATTATGGTAAATACACACTATTCCTTCACACATACACATACACACAAAGACTGCAAAATAAGGATGATCATTTTTAAAGTGTTTATCTGGGTAGTAAGGTAATGGGATTTTCTTCCTTTCTCCTTTCTTCTTTTCTTCCTTTACTTTCTTTCTTTTGGAGTTATATATTGTCCGTGTTTTTTTGTAATGAATATTCATTATCTTTGAAATCAGAAAAAAGTTATACTTGGAAAAGAAAAGCATTGATGTACTAGAATGGATCAATATAAGCAATCCCCAGATAACAAAGGGTCAGAATCTTGTCTTATGAGGAACATTTGAAGGATTGCGCAATTTTTATCACGGAAAAAAACCGAAAGTTTTGGAGGATGAGGTAAGACTCATCAAATACTCTGAAGAGCAACCATGTAGAGGAGGGATGAGAACTTTTTCCAGGTAGCTTCAGCAAGAAGAACTCGGATCAATAGACAGCTAAGAAAAAGGAGGTCCACTGACAAGCAGTAGAGGAGGAAATACATTCTCATGATGAAAGTGTGCTAAAAACCTTGATAGGGCTCCCTCTCTGTGGAGGCACACTTTCAGATGACCTTCTATAGAAACACACCTCTACATGCTGCAGGACCATCTATAGAGACACACCCAGATGCTGGATGACCACACAAGGAAACACACTCTCAGATGCCAATGACCATACATGGAAATATATATCCAGATGCCAATGAACATATAAAGAGACACACACCCCAATCCTGAATGTCCTTCCTGCCAAGAATCCATCATAAGAAGTGACCATGAAGTTAGTTTTCCATCCTTAAAGATACTCCTCAGAGCTGTGAGATATGTCCTAAAATAATAAGCCACAAAGCCAATAGCCTGTCTTTAGGGATGGCAGTGTTTCATGAATATGAAGAATGCCTTGAAATCAACAGCACTGATGACAATTAGCTTCAGAAGAGTTGCATGGTAATGTTCGGCTGCTCCTTTCAACCACCCGCTTTATGGCGTCACAGACGCACAGGATCCTCATTACCCTCCCTTACAAAATGCTCTCAATTAAGAAAAAATGGGGAGAGGTTCAAAGGAGAAGGAAGGAAACACAAGATTAAGGAAAACGGAGCATCAGGGATGATAAAGCAGGGAGAACAAGGAAGATTGCAGCCAATTAATAGAAATAAAAGCTTTTAGAAAACAACTGATAGCAACATTCAAAATAAATTTACACTCTGGTCTTTGAGGTTTATTCCCCTGCTTAAATAGTCAGCTACTTTTTTTAGATGCTTCAAAAACTGTCCTGTAAAAGGTCTTCGATGGTATAAGTGGGTTGTTTAAATAGGAAGAAAAAGAAACACCAAAACAGCTGTGATATTTTTATTTTCATCACCAATTTTCCTAATTAGCTGTACGACCTAGAGGAAGTTACTTAACCTCTCTGAAACTCTACTTTTTCATATATAAAATGAGAATTATGCCTACATAGGCTGTTGTAAGAATTAAGTATCTTCTTATTTGTAGGTACATACTCATAGATGTTGAATGAATCCTAACTTTAGTGTTATTGTTGTTAAAAACAACTTATTGAAACTAGAAAGGAAGAGGTACTAATATTTTGAGATCCTATCTGAAATTTTCATATACTAACCCTATTTAAGTCCATTGAATCTTCGAGCAGTTAACAAACTTTTTCTGTAAGGGCCAAATAGTAAATATTTTAGGCTTTGCAGACCGATAGTCTGTCTAAACTACTCAGCTCTGCCTCAGTAGTGCAAAAGCAACGCTAGACAGTATGTAAACGAATGGGCATGGCTGTGTCCCAATAAAATTTTATTTACAAAAGCAGGCCAGATTTGGCTTGTGGGCAGTACTTTGTCGACCTCTGAGCTAGATAGTATTCCCAAATTACAAATTGAGAAACTATTGCTCAAAGTGCTCAAGCAACTTGCCCTGGGTCACTCAGCTCATAAGTAGCAGGCCTGAGGTTTGAACCTAGGACCATATATCCCAGAGCTCATGTTCTTTCCTCCATACTGAGTTGTGTTAATTGGCATCATACCTTTTGTAGCCATTATAAAGCAAAATTTACGGCTCAGAGGAGAAATTCTGCTCAACTAAATGCACGATTTCTCTGTAACACAAACGGTGCCCAAATAACTGAAGTAGAACACATCAAGATTCCAGGGCCCATGCTCGTTGTAAAATTTATAGTCTCAAAAGGGTTTGCCAGTATTATTTCAGTGAGAAGTTGGTCTTGCCAAAATCAACTGAAGAATTATTACATGAATGTCAAAAAATAATTTTAACCTGAATTTCCTGGAAAACGCTAGTAAATATTTTCTTATTCAAGCTTCAATAACCTAGAGATTTGCCCCAATCATCCAATGCATCCTCATAGACAAAGGAAATATTGATACTTTCTAGAACAAGAAATGGGAATAAGAAAATATCCATTCTTCCAATTATTTATGCCAAACACTCATTTCCTCTAAAGATGGGTCCACAGGCATTTACGAAATAGTTTTCAACTGGATTGCAAAGAGAAGGAATAGAAAAAGTGTAACAGAATCGACTGGAGATCTTCATTACAAATATACAGCCCAGCCTTCACCCCTACCACCCCAAGATTCAAGACTCCCTTAGTAGGGTCAGGGAATGACTTGGCATCTGCTCTTAGGAAACAAAATAAGGAGAAATAAATACTTCAACGGATTCTAATTACTCCACTTTCAGACGTACTGGTTAAAGAAGGGATTCTCCTCTTCAGCACTGTTGACACTTTGAACTGGGTAAATCATTGCGGTGGGAGCTGCCCTGTGCATTGTAGGATGTACAGCAGCAGCCCTGGCCTCGACAGCCTAGATGTCAGTAACATCCTGCCCCGAATCGTGACAATAAAAAATGTCTCCAGACACTGCCAACTGTTCCCTTGGGGCAAAGCTGCCCTCATTGAAAAGCACTGGGTTAGAATATAAACCATCTGATACTGGGTTTTTCTTAACATCCAGTCCAAAAAAAAGAATGAAGAAGATAAGTCCGTGTGAGATCTAGTCAGAGCACTTTCCTTCTGCTCTATTTAAGGACCACGAGCCCATCAGCCCCACCTTTTTATTGAAGTGTAGCCATTATTTTGAACTCATTGGAAATTTTAAGTATGCACTAACACGCTCTCTTGACATATTTTTTATAGTACCAAGTATCATTTGTCATTCACTGTAATAGGTTTTATGTCAATATTAATGCTCTGTGGATCAACATTGTTTTCTCTGCCTTCTTTTTCTTTTTCATTCTGTTTGTTACATATTTTAAATGATCTTGGAATTTGCCATATCAATATTTCAAAACTTCTATCACCTCTGCCTTCCCTAACTAAAATTCAATTACATGAAAAACACAATAAAAAAGTAACCAGTCCTCAAATAAATGTCATTCTAGTGTTAATTAAAATATTACCTAGGTCTAGACAATAACAAGTGTTAGTCAAGATGTAGAGAAATTGGAACTGTCATATATGGCTGGTGGGATGGTAAAATGGTATAGCTACTTTGGAAAATAGGTTGGCGGTTTCTTAAACAGTTAAACATAATTTATCATTACACCCAGCAATTCTACTCTTAGGTATCTGCCTAAGAAAAATGAAAACACATGTCCACACAAAGACTTGTACCCAAATAACAGCATTATTCATAATAGCCAAAAAGTGAACACAACCCAAACGTTCATTAACTGGTGAACGGATAAACAAAATGTGTTATAGTCATACAATGGAATCCTATTCAGCAATAAAAAGGAATGAAGTACTGATACATGCTTCAGTATGGATAAACTTCAAAAACTTTATGCTGTATGAAAGAAGCCAGCCACAAAAGACCACACACTGCGCTCACTTCGGCAGCGCATATACTAAAAATTGGAATGATACGGAGATTAGCATGACCCCTGGGCAAGGATGACGGAGAAATTTGTGAAGGCTTCCATATTTTTTTGCCACAATGGCAATCATATTACAATATATAAATGCATCAAAATAACATGTTGTATACCTTAAATTTACACAATGTTATATGTCAAATATATTCAATAAGAAAAGACCACATGCTGCATTATTCCATTTATATGAAATGTCCAGAATAGGCAAATCTATAGAGACAGAAAGTAGATTAGCTGGGGCTGGGTGTATATGTGGGGGGTAGGGGTGGGGAATAACTGCTAACATACATTGAGTTTCTTTGGGGGGTGATAAAAATGTTCTAAACTTAGATCATGGTGATGGTTGTACAATTCTGTAAGTAAACTAAAAACCATTGAATTGTACACTTTATTTGGGTGAATTTTATGATATATAATTTATATCACATTAATTAATATATATTGCATAGGTCTAGATAAAACCCTTCCTGAATGAAAATTGAGGTTCACCTACTAGGCTGGAAACTCAGTCAGTAAGCTTTCATTGTCTTCCCATTCATCAGGCCTGAAAATGCATGTCTGAACAATGAGAAATTTGTCCATATCTCTATGTCCCCTTCCATTCTAACTCTGTATCCTCAAAATTAATGAGACTGAGCTATGATATTAAGTTTTACAGGTTCTGATTCCATTGCTGCTGTGACATATAATGGAATCTCAGATCAATTTCCTTTATTCATATATGGGTATATCAATTAGAAGGCAATCTCTCATTCTAGTAGAGTAAGTGGTAGCTACTTTCTGGAGGATTCAGGAGCACTTAAAGTCCTCACGCCCAGAGTTCTTTCTGTTCTGTCCCCAGCTCCCTTTGCTTCTTTTGGCTTAGGCATTGATTCTAATAGTTGCTGTCAAATGTATACTAAACAAGTGCTTTGATTAATGGATTCTGATCAAGCTGGAGGGAAGATTCCCATGGCTTGCCACAAGACCATGGTCGTTATCAACACTGCTGAAGATATAGACTCCTCAGTCAATTTGTTAGTTATTGAAGGATAAGAGGGGCAGGAAATATATTAGACAATAGAGTGAAGATTAAAAAGTATCTCAACAAGCTGGAACAAAGTGCTGAAACAAACTAAATAAAATTAAATAAGAATAGTTTTCAATAAAGTTCAATAAATCCATCTCACGTGAACAGATGAAGGAGACCCAGGTTTCACAACCACTCATTTGAAAGAAGCCTGAGGATTTTACATGCCAACAATTTCCATATGAATTGTATATATAATTTATTTGTAAAAATAATATTATGGGGGCCAGCCCTGTGGCCTAGTGGTTAAAGTTTGGTGTGCTCTGCTTCTGTGGCTGGGGTTCAGATCCTGGGCATGGACCTACTTCACTTGTCAGCCATGCTGTGGCAGCGACCCACATACAAAATAGAGGAAGACTGGCACAGACATTAGCTCAGGGACAATCTTCCTCAAGCAAAAAAAAAGGGGAAGATTGGCAGTGATTTAGTTCAGGGCGAATGTTCCTGAGTTAAAAAAAAAAAAAAAAGAATATGGTCATGGCAGCAGTAACAGAAGTACAGAACTCAGATGACATTTGGAGTATTATGCCTATTTCTGAATGTAATATTTTTAGAGGTATATTACAGATCAGTCATTCAACAATGTTCAACAAATAATTAAGCCATCTGTGGCAGACCATGCTTGGTACTGGGAACATAGGAAAACACAAAAAAACAAGGTCCTTGTCCTTGTGATGCTTATGAGCTCTCAGAGAAGGCAGGTCTTGAGTCATGATTACCAGCATGGCAAGTCTTATAGAGGGAGAGGGCAGAGCTCATGAGAGGCAGGTAGGGTAGACGTAGCCTTGTCGTCCTTTCATAGGCAGGTAACTTGGGTAGTGAGGGGTCTGCAAACAGTAAGGCATAGCTGAGAAGTCTATGGGTGGATAATCTAGGCAAGAAAGAATTGATGGGGTGTGGTTGAAGTGTACTTATGTGGATACAGAATCAGCCTTATACTTGCTGTTCCAAAGAATTAGCACCAATATGGAGAAATTACAAGGGAGCCGACTTTCTGTGTGGATATTTGGGAGAACTTCCTCGGACAACAGAGAAGATAGCTTGTTAAAGTAGTGAGCTTGCCAACACAAAAGGTATTCAAGCAGATGACTTTTTGTTGGACTAGATCAGGGGCCGGCAAACATTTTCTGTAAGGGGCAGACAGTAAACATTTTAGGCTTTGTGATCCATATAGTCTCTGTGGCAACTACTCGAGTCTGCCACTGTATCAAGAAAAGAGCCACAGATAACAAGTAAATAAATGAACAGGGCTGTGTTCCAATAATACTGCATTTATGGACCCTGAAATTTGTACTTCATATAATCTTCACACGTCATGTAATATTATTCTGATTTTTCCCCAACAATTCTTAGCTTGTGGACTGTAAAAATACAGGCAATGGGCTGGAGTTAGCCCACGGGTTGTAGTTTGTCAATCCCTGGACTAGATGATGTTGGAGTTGGCTTCTAGTTCTGCAACTCTGAGTTTGAGTAAAACCTGAAAGACACGGCACGGCCTTTTAAACTCATTACCCCTTTGCCAATAATTAAAACTATAGGTAATGTTAATTGGGACCAAAGGATAGAGAATGTTTCACAGCAACAACATAGCGAACTGGGATTTGAACCCAGGCAGCCTGGCCCCAGAATCATTTTTCTGTGTGTTCTTTTGGTTCATGTCTGCAGCAAATCTAGAAGGTGAGCACTCTGGTCGTGCCTGTGCTATCAGTGAGAAAACTGAGGCGCAGAACTGTTAGGTGACTGGCCCACACTCATGAGGGGGCCAGTGCTGGGAGCAGAGTTCAATCTGACCCACAGGCCACACTTCACCACACCCTCTGCATGCTGTGAGGTCAGTGTAACAGATGAGCTGGGCATGGCCACAGTTAGAGTGAAGATTGGCAGCTCACTGACTGGCAACTCTGGGAAATGGTTGTGGGCACAGCATTGAGCCTCTGGAATTAGTGATACCGGGTGAATGTGGAAAGGCAGCAAGACAGAATAAAAAGAGGATCTAGAAAAGTGAAGAAAATCAACTCTGCCTATCCAAAAGTTTGGCCTAGGGGAAAGCTCTGCTTCAATTTCTCTTCTGTCAATTGAAGGATAATATTAATATTCACCAGTCTCACCCAAGGGTGTTGAGTAAATTAATTAAGGCCAATAAACCGCTTGAGGTCTTTAGATGGGAACAAAAAAGTCAAGAACAAGTACAACAGGGCAGTTGATTTGTATTTATTGTTGCATTTATTAAATTGTCACTCTCCTGGTCTTTGCAAGGCTTTATGAATAAACAACAATGTATTAATTATTCTCAGAACTATTCATATCACCCTGAGAAAATCAAGTCTAAATGCCAAGAGAAGATGGTCACTGTGACAGAAGGTTTGCCGAGCCCAAGAATTACAATCTTGAAATCCCCTTCCTATTTCTGTCAACTGACACTTCTGTCACAGGAATGACAGGACCATTTTCTGCCTCTGTGCTGCCTTTTTTCTAGGTACTTGGAGCATAAACTCCCTGCATTTAGGAGTTCTTTTTGCATGAAAGTAGTCTTCTGCCTCCTAGAAGGTACCATGTTATAGAAAGGACAGGACCGGACAGATGAGGCAGGATTGCTCGTTGGGCTGAGGCCTCGGCCAAGAATTTAAGTAGACACTGATTTTTCATTCCCTCGTCCAGGAGGCCTTCCCTGATTTCCAGGCTGAGTTGGGTGTCTCTCCTCTGTACTTCAGCAGCAACAAGCACGCCTCTATTAGTCTACAAGTGCCCTTTTGAAATTGTTGATTTGCTCATCTGGTAGACTGGACAATCCTTGAGGACAAGATGTTTTTGTCATGGTCTTGCCCGTCACTACTGTAAAGCTGAGCAGATTGTGGACTCCCAATAAACATCAAACAACAATAAGTAATAAACAGTCCCTGGTTTGCTCATCAGGAAAATGAGAGAACAGGATGAGATGGTTATTAATGTCTCTTCCGACCTTGAGATTTGGATAAATACCACTCTTCTGACTCCCAAGCAGACTCTCACACAGGTGGTTATTCTATAGCCTGGGGGCAAAAGGGGGAGAGAGTCTCAAAGGAGAAGGCAATTTATGTGACCAGATCCTTCTCTCCCTATAGAATGGACATTCTCTTCTCAGCTCGGTTTCCAGAGGGATCCATTTTCAAACAATGGAGCTCTTAACATTCCTCTGCTTATAACCCTCCAGATGATTCCCATCTTACCCAGAGTAAAAACCACAATCTTCCCCATGACCTACAGACACTGTACGAGTTGGCCTTTTCCCCACTCACCTCTCTGACCTCTATCCCTGGCTCACTCCAGTCCAGCCACACAAGTCTCTTTACCACTCCTCCAATTCACTATGTACCTTCTATCCTCAAGATCTATATCCTATGTTTCCCTCCTTCTGTAAGTTTTCCCCTTAGATATCCGGACGGCTTTCTCTCTTATCTCCTTCAAATTTGCCAAAAGTCACTTTCATAGGCCTATTCTAACCATCTTATTGACAAGCACTCACCATCCTCTTTGCTGATTTATTTTTCTCTGTAGTGCTTGTTATCTTCCATTATACTATAAAAGTTACTTGTACTTTATAGGCTCTCGGAGTTGGAACTTTCATCTGTCTTGATCACTGCTGTGTCCCAGCACCTAGAAGTCTGCCAGGCACGTGGCATGGGCTCAATGAATGTTTATTGGATGAATGAGCACAACTAAGGCAGCACAATGAGATGGGAGTGAGGCTCGGCTCAGGAGCCTCAAGCCCCACTGCTTTTCCTGGTTGGTGTTTGGGCTGTTGCTCTAATCTCATGTTCATGGCCTTCTCCAGAGTCCACATTTGCTCTGATCTTCCAGTTCTCTTTCCCTTTACAACCTCTGTCTACATGTTACTCCCTTACAGGATAGTGGGAGCTCCATCCCAGGCAAATTAAGCAGGAAGCAAAGCAACAGAAAGAGAAAATGCCTGCATGTACTAATGGAAGGCAAAAGCTATTATCAACAG